GGAGAGACCTATGCAGTGAGCCAGGATGTGAATTTACAATGCACTGACTCTCTAAGGAGGTACTCCAAGTAAGTGCCATAGCCTTCCTTTTAGCAAAATTATTTGTTCCGCTTTGAAGTACACATATGAGTCCACATGCTACAGGACTCCATATACTATTGTAGTAGTGGTATGTAAACATTACAGCAATATATTTGAAAGCTGAATACCTTTTTATAGGTGAATTCTTATAGACAGTGACTTTAGAGAATGATCATAGCAGGAAGCAATGGATGGCTTAGGTTACCAGAAAGGAAGAATAATAGTACTATTTCATATTACTTATTTACCATTAGCACTGTCTAGATCCCTTGTAAGTGACATTGATAACCAAAGGAGAGTTGTGCTTTTGCTTATATTTCTGGAAGCAGGTTGCAGAAGAGACAGGGGAAAAGAAAATCAAGAATTTAAACCTTCCATTGTATTCAAAGGTAAATTGTTGGATGCAAGCCAATAGAAGCCATGCAATTAATGCTCTATAAAATCTAAGTAGGAATGGCATTAGGAACTATAAACTCATCAATCACTGTGCTGTCAATTCTGACTTTTCTGATCTAAACATGGGGTTTATTCCTCTTGCTTGGGAGATTCCCAGCTATAGGAACTGATTCAGCACAAACTCTGCTGAGCTCATTCTCAGAGAAATCATTAGCAATAGCCCTTTGAGGCTACATCATTGTTCTGTTAACGGTGTGAGCTGAGCGGCATAATACAAGTCAGATTTAAGATATTGTTAACTATCCAAATGACTTCTTTCCATTTGCTAGTCAATTCCATGGATGGCCACCCTTCATTTCTGAATCATCTGTTTTTTCCACTGGGGGAGAAATTATTAACTTTGCTCCTATTACCTCATCTGCTGCTTCTTCCATATTTCTTCCAGAGGTTTAACATCAGTTTTGGGACCGACAAGAAGAGCTCTCTGAGTTTTTATGAGTGCTGAAATGGCCCACACCAAATAGGACCAACAAAGAAAGTTGTGCTAGCAAAAACATATTTGATAAAACAATATTTGAACAAAGCAGATACACATAGCTTTAGTGCTAACAGTAGCAAATTACAACTCCATGCACCAGAAAATACAAACATTGAAGTATTCATCAACATAGTACCAAGCAAGAAATAGTGGGACAAGAGTATTATAGCCAAAATTTTCAGACTTTGGCATCCAAATATAAAATGTTAGGGAACAATCCAGGTTCCTAATCATAGGTGTCTAGTGTAATTTTAGACTCCCTCTGATGTTCCACCTAGTCTGCAGTTGTCCTACAGCAGTGTCCTACTAGCTGGGTTCATGCATGTCAGTCCTGGATATCCTAGGACATCTAAAATGATAGCAGAAAACTATGTTTAGGCACCTGATTTACTCCTCTAATTTCAGATTTGGTCATTTGAACACAAGGCACTTAGACTTTTTCAGAGGTGCTGACACTATCAATGAAACCTTTTTTTTATACTTTACTTTTGTTTCGAACCATGATTCAGACTTACTTAACAGGAATCAAAGGCTAATAAAATTGTTATAAAAATGAAACAATTTTGTCAGATCACATGAAACTTTCTGCTCAACTCATATAACAGCTACAAGCAGTGACACATGCACCATTCTGTTTCATTACTGGTAGTATTTACACTAATGCATATTAACGCTGCTATTGTTATGATTTCTGGTTTATTCAAAAAATTGAAATATGCTTATTTCAGGTTAATGCCTAAAGCTTTTCCTTTTCTGTTTTGATACAACAAGAAAACTAAACCATGAGTTATTCACACACTTACAGTTCTGGTAACAGAGCAACAATGTAATTTACTGGAGACATTTACCTTACACAGCAGAACAGGATCTGGTAAAGTGCATGCAACAGGTAATATGGCTTTTTGTCACTCTCACAAACGGGAAAGAGACATCCATTACCAAAAGTCTTAATGTGTGTTAGTAATGTTATTAAGCAAATATGGAACTCAGAAATTGAAAAGCAGCCATTAAAAGTGGGAAACAGCTGTCCAGCAGGTGTCAAGAATAGCCTAAGAAAAAGATAAATATGAGAAAGAGAGGGAGACAACCTTAAATGTTAGGAACTGAGCACATAAGAGAGTTAAAGCACCCCTGATGGAATTCATTTCACATACATTTAGACACCTGCAGTGTAAACATCTATATCTGAGCGAGTCACCCAAGGCTGTTTTTATAGTCAAAAAGGAGGAACAGGCACAAATCATCTGAGCTATTTTAGACTTCTACATTAGAAACAGGCACTAGAACGCTCTCTCTATTCATCTCACATTTAGTCAGATAAATCCCACTCCCCAGTACATAAAAGCAGCAGACACTTGAGACAAGACTGGCTCCCTGTTCCCCTGCTGCCAGTACCTTACAGTGCAGTGCATGGTCATCATCTTGCAACTCAAGACATTTATGTAGGTAGTTTCCAGGAGGAAGCGGGGCATTGGCATACCATATCTTCTGGATTCTTTGTAAACCTCATCTCTGGTGTCCCCTAACCCTCATATAGGCACCATACTTCAGACAAATCTTTTCATACGGACTATAACTCCAGTGTAAATATGTAAAATTACCATGTAACTACTCAGGATATAATTGGTTGTGGGTTTCTTTACTGAGAATACTTGATTTCATCCTTAGGCTGATAATATTTGTTGTGCACAATAATTAAGGGTTTGTTTTTTTTCTAAGATCAAGGTTAAGGAACTTTGTCAGTGATAAAAATAGTTTTCTAACTGCTTCATTGAATGGTACTAACTGCACAGTACTCAGTGCCAGGTTCTTGAAATTTGAGTTATGAATAGTTCTGCTGTCAGAGACATTCCACGATTTCATATTCCACTCTTGTTTGTGTGGAAAAACACTACTTCTGCTTAAGATAAGTAGTAACAGAAGCCACAATACCTTAATTTTGTTAACATTACATCTGAATAATAGCTGGATAGACTTCTTGCTGACTCTGCCAAAATGCTGTGTGGCTCAGGAGGCAGACAATGGTCCTGGGACATCATGAGGCCAGTTTCATTTCTACAATGCACTCAAGAATCAGCCTTTCTCTTCTTCCCTCAAAGCATTAGAGGTTTCCCAAGGCCGCTTGCAGGATAGCTGGAATTAGGATTTTGGACCGATATTTCTTTGAAAAGCCTGTTTCACTTTTCTTATGTCAACCTATAGCTTGATTCAAGCTTGACACAACAACCATTCACTTAGATGCCTTAAAATTTCACTGATTCTGAATATCCAGTCCACTCTTCTAACATCTCAGATGCAAACTGCATCTGATCTATCCACGGCTTTTCAGGAGTTGAAACAACATGAGCTTGCCTTTTCACAAGAGCTGAGCACACACACCTCTACTGAGTGTCAGCGTGACCTGGATGTCTTCCCATCCCGGAAGAAGTGCACCAAGACATTTGAGTTCAATATTCAAGCTGTGAATATTGGCTGGTGCCAATCACTGCCAGATTATTTGCATAATTGTTTTTTCAACAGAATTCTATCTCTGTAAAATGGATCTAATCATGCCTTCATTTCAGGGGAGTGAAATTGCTACAGTGAAAATAACACCAGAATGTTATTTCATTGCAGTCAAATGCTACAGTGAAAATAACATCAGAAGACTCTTTGGAGAGATAAACTTGTTTCAGATGTTGCACGGAACATGTTGTCATGGTGAAGATAAAATGACGCTATACTTACTTCTCTCACACTGGGACTGTCCATCCAGGGGAAGATGACAGGAACCTGGGGAAAAAGAAGTATATGATCGTATAGTTAAAAACAGAGAGCAAAATATCCAGAAGCAGCATCCCATTTAAAAAAAAAAAAAAATAAATAAAAATAAAACCAAAAAAACCCAAACACTTTGTCACTTGCTAGAATCTTACTGGCAAACTAGCTGTAGTATCAGGTTAAGAGGCTACTATCCCAGCTAAACATTCCTTCTGTATTCAACTCAAGTAGCACAGATGCCTGAAGAGAGCCAGCACTGGAACTTAGCTATTTCAGTGGAAATCTGGTGTTAGAGACTAAACTGGCAAAGAAGGAGGCTTCCGGTTAAGGCAATGTACTTGGCATTGAAGCAGTTATGAATTAACTCATGTTCTGTGGGGATATGGAAGATGCATATGACAACTTCTTATCACAGAAAACTTTGCCTGAGCTTTTGTGTCAGCATCTTAACCTCCATAAATAATTCAAAGACCTGTTGTCCAAAGGCATTTGGGCACCTAAAGGCAACTAGAGAGAGAGAGAAAAAAAAAAAAAAAGTAATTTGCTTAATTCCCACTGAAATCGGGAAAAAATGGTTCTAATCTGTATCCTTGGAAATCTGCAGTCAGGTAATTTATTAACACTTCATTTAGTCTATTAAAAGCTGTATATTTTTCCCTGAACCATACTCTGTGCACACTAGAGAAATAAATTAGCACTGGCAGCCTTCATTCTGGCATTTCCTAGCTTTTTAATCCTAGTCTTTGCCTTCTTAAGAATATTAATTGACACAGTTTTCATGCATGACATAAAGAATCTACCAGTGTTAGTAAAACATAAGATTTTACATTAAGAATGACAGAATTTTCATATTTATACTTTACTGAAAAACATACATGATTTCTACTTTGTTACCCTGAATGATCACCCTGTCAATTTAAATAATTTTCACTCTTTTATTCTTCCTCATACAGCTTTTATCCCTTCAAATATTTTTTCTATTTTGATCATTATATACTTCTGCAACAAACCTCCACAACTTTAACTATCCTATATTTTCTAAGAAGATATATGTTTTCTTATATTTCAGTTACTGGTGATCTGGTGTTTCATTTACTCTGGCTTTCTTTATAACGTTTGTTACCTTATTTAGCCCTTGAAAACACCCACAGGTAATATTACCTCAGCATCTTATCAGAACTGTAAAATTGAGGCTACGGTTCTGATGTGCAATATGCTATTACAGTATCTTCACGAGGGCATCCTGCATATACCAGGTGAATATTTACTGATGTGCTAATGTAATAATGACCTATCTGCCTCTGCTCCTCTCTGGGGTACTTTCTATCTATAGGGATGGGAATTAATGACAGTCTCTGTGCTGCCTGATGTCAGAGCCGAGAAAGGTGTGAAGGGTATATAAGAGCTGTATTACTTGTCAGCAAGGAAGGGGGAAAAAGGATACTCCAGAGCTAGATGCAAGCGTGGAATTGTTGCATGCACCCTTCTTGCTAACACGGGCGTGCTTTTTCCGTTAGCTCCCTGACCACTAAAAGGTAAACAATTTCCCTTTTTTTTGTGCTTAAGATGCAGTGCAACAGATGTGCTTTCAGGAAAGCAGAATGTTTCTCATTATTAATCAACAGCATTTTTCAGGAAAAGGCTGAGATAACTTCAAGGTAAATTGCACCTGGGACCACAGTTTGAGACTGGGACATGTCGGGAATGCAAACTGGAGATAAGGGAAAGGATTGAAACTACTAGATGGAAAATGAGCATTTACTGTTGAGAGCTCTCTCTCTGAAACTGCGTTGTGTCACTAAACTTAGGGGGATCGTTTTTTCACTCTAGCCTGTGAAAAAGACTAGCTGCTGTTGATTTAGGACAGAATGGGCATCAGTAATAGGATATGCTGAAGAGTATTTGGGTTTGCTTTCAGTTTTGAATCATTATTCTTTTCAGAAAGTTTGGAAGCAAAGATGTGCAACCTAAAGCTGTCAGTTTTCTTCATTGCACTTTCTGTCACTCTGAGCTGTTTGGAAGCTACACCTATTGAGAAGTGAGTAATAAATAATCATATTTATTTCTTTTTAGGGGAAAACATGTTCAGATTATTGCATTAATTGCTTTTGCTTTCATGTCTCAAATAATACGAGCAAAAATAGAGCTATTCAATTTCACAGGGTATTTTATTGTTCTTTAAAGATTACTATCTGTGGCTGATGATCTATCTGATGGTACTTCCAAGAGACAAGGATGGATATTGCCAGTAATGTCACGGAATACACTCTCAGGACTTACTGAGGAAATGCCAGAACAACCAGCAGCAAAGACAAAAAGGTATTGATTTTCCTTGTTTTTTTCTAGTCATATTGGTTAGGATTAAATTATGAAGCAAACTTCATGCCAGTGATATTCTGTTACTTGAAACTCTTTGTGTCTGTTGCCTATTCTCAAAAACAGCTTAAAATACCCTTCTTCTTGTAAATAGAACCATTCTGTAGCATAAAGATCAAAGCATTCAGGGTAGAAAGTGAAATCCAGAGATCATTTAACTACTTTACAATTATAATGCTTTCATAAATGAAAAAGGCTACAAATACTACATTACCTTGAGAAGAAAGGTGTATCTTGAAAGGGCTTTCTCATTTAAATTTGTCATATTTCCAAGCCTGAAGGGAAAAAAAGAAAATATACCCTTCTTAATAACACTAATGCTCTGCTAGAATGGAATTATTTTATAACATAACTATTTCCTGTAAGTAAGTAATGTTTCATTACAGAGTTAAATATCAATTTAATCGTGGGAAGAAGGAAAAGAAGCAATTGGCTCTGATAGAATTTAACTAGTCTGAAATGCATTCATGTTTATAAATCCATAAATCCAATTTCAGGTAACTTCTTTATGAATAAAATAGCATTTCAAAAAGTTTTTGCAATTTGTACTAAAAGATAAACAGCACTGGACTATTCTAACTGTTCATCAGGCTTTTGAGTGAACTTCTTTCAATAACAATTCTGTTATGGACAGATTCAGTAAATACACGTGTCTGTATAGTTGCTTGTTCCTTTCTCTCCAAATTTATAAAAAAAAAATTCATTATTATATGACAGTTTGGTTATCTTCCAAAATATTTTGATAATGGAGACTAAGTTCCCACATTTTTACAGCTATTACTTTAAAAATAAAACAAAATAATAATTGTGATACTCAAACACAAGGCATCACCTTTATGAGTGTGGTATGCCTTATCTGCTTTTCTGGGGCCTTGGTTTACAATCTCTTACTGGGTGAATTGTCTCATTGAAGCACATATTCAATTAAAGGCCACAGATCAGAGAGCTAACAGATATAATGGGTTCAGTCAGGCTAGACATCAGCCAGAAATCTCGTAGCTTCCTGTAAGGACTGGAGTTTTAAACTTGGAATGTCAGGGCCCGATTTTGTACCTTTAACGAAAAAGAAAATTCTGCCTCCACAAACAAATCAGGATTTCCATGAGAACCAGTTGCTGTTTGAACCTCATATGTTAAGGGCTTGATTAAACTCTTTTTAAATCAATAGAAATATCCATGGAAACCTAAGAGAACCTGTATCAAGACCTAGCCAACCATTTCCTTTAAATACAATTACATATTTAAAATACTAATTGCTTAGAAATTGCTGCCTATTTGCCAATGAAGAACCAGTATAATACAGACATTTCTCTCACAATTGCTATTCCATTTGGATTCTTAGATTAATACACATAACTCTAAAAGAATAGATGACATTTTAAATAACAAATTTAATCAATAGGAAAATGTACTCCTTGGTAATTGCTCAGAGCTTGAAACTGGGAAATTGCCACTCTTCACAGCAAATTTTTGCTGCAAACTGTTGTCTACCTCATACCACATCAACATGAAGAAACCCAAGAAAATTAACAGTAACCCAATAAGCAATCTCAGCAAGGAAGTATTTCTGTCTGAAGGAACAACATGGTGGTCTAAGAAACAAGCTTGCAAACCCAAGCCCTCTCAAGCTAACTGTTGTATTGTGATTTAAAAAAAAAAAAAAAAAATCTCATGCTACGTAAGTTCTACACAGAGTTCTGTAAATGGTCTATTGGTTCAGACCATAAAATGTTCTTTTTAGATACTGATTCTTCCATGGACACTCTTTAAAGTCTCATCCAGCAAATGATTACCACAACAGCACTTTCAAGTTGCTGGTGTTTCAACAAAGATGTGGCAACTTTTCAGTAGTGAAGACATCTCTGTTTAGACAGAACTAAATCTTAAGTGGTACTGAAGTCGGCAGAAGTTGGCAACGCCTGCCACCTCTCATGATACATGGTGCAGTTGGGAGAAAGAGTCTTTGGACGCGATCCACTTGATGTGGACTGGAAGACTACTGTTCACTTCAGTGAGAGCAGGATATGATTCTGTGGGAACAAGAGAACTAAATAAATGTTAGTGATTGTCATTATGTTAGTAATCCTCATGATATCAGCAAGAGCTCTGAATAGATTTAGAAGTTCAGCTTAAAGTTAAACATTTAGTCATTGTTTTCACTTACTGCCTTAACTATACTATCATTACAGGTTTTCTAGATGTAATAAACTGCTATGCAGAATATCAATAAAAATGACATATGACTGCTAAGGTCTTTGCATTTAAATAAACCTCATCATTAAAACTGATAATAGCATACAGCGCAAGATTTTTTTTCAGGCACAAAGTAGGTGGTAGGAAGATTGTAATGTTCCTGTATTTGTGCACATATTAAAAGAACTCCCACATTAGCACAGCTCAAATGCCTATTAGAAGTGGCACACTTGATTGCTCATCATTTGACTTAATCTTGGCTCTTTTTGTTTTACCTTAGTAGTCACCACCTAGAGAAACGGAAATGCAACACTGCTACATGTGTGACACAACGCTTGGCTGATTTTTTAGTTCGTTCCAGCAACAACATCGGAGCAATTTATTCACCTACGAATGTGGGGTCCAATACATATGGAAAGAGGGACACAGTTGGGCTTTTAAGCAGAGAACCCCAAAACAATGCACAGCTTTAGGGTGTTAAAATGACTACTGCTACAGTTTTCATTAGGAGCTCAGTTTTTAATGTATCAATAACTTTTTGGTCATTTATTACTTGTACAGTCTTAACAGTGCCTTGTTTTCTGTGTGTGCGTGTATGTGGGTATGTGATTTATGTTCGTCATTTCACTATGCATGTACCATGACATGCATAGGCTATTGTTTCAACTCCATTAAGAACTCCAGAAATCTGCTTGTCAAATTCCTTTGTAAAAAATAAATGTATATATCACAATAATAAATGGAAAAGTAATCGCAACAGGGGTTTTTATTAATTATTATTATTAAAAGGATGAAAAAGATAACCATGATGTGTATGTCTTTATAGTCACAGTTTGGTAAGAGAAAGAAATCATCTTAATTAAGACCAACAAAAATCAGAATGCTAACAGAAGTTAGGTCCTAATGAAAGTAAAACAGAAGAATCTTCTGGTTTTGAAACACCTACAGCATCTTGTTCTCCACAATTGAAGGAACAACTAGATGAGACAAGATGGCTGCACCGTGCATATGATTATACCAGTTCACTGACTGGTCTCTTTCCACCTTAACATGCATTAAGCAAGTAGAAGTGGTCTTGCGGCACAGATTTCCGTACATACTGAGCATGGGATTTTAAGAATTTACAGTTCTTATTTTAAGATAGTATCAGTAAAATGTAAGCATAATGAGCATAAATATGAATAAAAGAAAACTCAGTGCTAGCAGAAACACCTGTCCTTGGGTATTCCTTTCCTTGAACTAGAGTAACAAAGGGAAGAGACAAAACCAATGAGCACTTCAGGCATCAAAACTTATCATAGAAACAGGGTAAATTTGCCTGCTGGCATACTTACATTGCTACCAAAATCCAAGAAAACTAGTTTAGAGATGTGCAGACCTTAATGGAAATTTGACAGTGTTGTTTTCTCCTACCTCAGCCCAGTATCAGTGCAGGCTTAATAAACATGCTTGTTCCTTTAAATTGTTAAGCAAACTTTCATAGAGGTGACATCCTATATCACAGCAATGGTTGTTTTGTCCATCATTTTCTCAGTGAAGTGTTCACTGTCATCTGAAAAAAAAACATGATTGTCCAATTATGAAAAACATTCAGCAGAAGCTTGGTGCTGGAGAAGCAAATGAAATCTTAATAATTGCCTTTGGTTGATTTGTTTCCGTTATAAAGAATGCCTCAAAATACAAACATTTTTGCTAAATTTAATGTTAAATGGCACATTCCTTTAATTTCACAAATAATACATAGGAATAAAAATTACTGCACAGAATTTTTGCTGTAAAAGTGTTACTGATTACTCTGTTGAGAAGTTTCAATCTTCATTGATGTTCTAATGGATATTTATTCTGAAAGTTATTGAGAAAACCATTCAGTTGGTATTAAACTTGTCTAATATTTCTGCAAGCATGAAATGCTTTCCATTCAAGTTACTTTTGAGATATATTATACACTCATTGTGGGCTTAATTTGTTTTTCAGCTGGAATATTTACTTTTCAGAAAAGAAACAAGAAAGTGACAGGATAGCTCTGAAGCGTCACTGTGACGTTGTTTGTACAGAGTAACCAAGTGGAGTCTTCACTGTGGGTGGATGCTGATCCCAACCTGAAATATGTACAGTGCTTTACGCATCAGCTTTTGCTCTTTAAGCTACCATTTGACAATCAAAACAAAGCACAGACTATGCACAGGTTCAGTGGAACTGTGTACATTATTTTCTGCCTTATGTACTCCTGAACTTGATGGATCTGGTACCAACATCTATTTAACATATTTGCCCTATTTGGCAAATACTGAAAAATGTTACTCATCTCCCAAATCAGTGAAACAACAGATAGGGGTAAGAGATATATCAGTATCTCAGAGGGGAACCGTCTCACCTATCTTTAGCTGCTTTTTGCCTAACTAGTTGTCAGTGCTCTCCTGCTATTTGGTGGAAAAAGATAGATACTTCCAATTCATCCCAGCTTAGATATCTATTTTAGGATGGGATGAATCATGCTCTTGAAGTGCCTCTATTTCTTCATTGACAATAGAGAGCGTCTAGACAATTAGCTGAAAATGGGCACTTAATTTTAAGAAAACTACAGTTAGGTGACATGAATCCCACCTGCAGTTGGTATGAACTGTTCAACCTAGGAAAAAAAAAAAAGGAGTTGTTACGAAAAAAAAACAACAACACACCCTCACGTTCCAAATCATCAGTGATCAACTCTCATATTCTGAACTACATTAGTTAATTCATCAGTCAGAGCATCTTGAGAAACTGCCTACACTGAGACTTGTTTCCCCATATATACCCTTGAGAACACAACTCTGCTACTCTTCCTCCTGCTGTGTAGCTACCACTGACTGCACTTAGACTTCTTAGAGAAGAAGGATCTAGTCATGGTCAGCCTGAATACAAGCACAATCCTGAGAGAATGAGCCAGGAAAAGAGTGAAAAGAAAAAGAAAAAAGAAAAAAAGAAAAAAGAAAAAAAGAAAAAAAAAGAAAGAAAAAAAAAAGAAGCATTTAAACATTAATTCATCAGAACCCCAAACAGCATAACTTCAGACATTTCAGAATATGAAGACTGCTAGGTGAAGCCTAGTTAAATAACAAAAATTAAGTGCCTTTATGCATTTTTAAAAATCCCATTATGTATTTATCTGCATTTTTAGGGACGTAAATATTTTTGGGGAATCAGGTCTTACATAGCTTTGGTTCTTTTTCAATTTATCTGGATGCCCTACAACTTTCAGAGAATATGCAAGAAAATAAAAAATACAAAAAAGGAAAATCAAGAATGTAGACAATGCGATAAACACGGCTATATTCCCTTTAAAAATAAAAATACTAAATCTCTGCTTTTTAGTGTCTTCTATTAAGTTGTCTTTAAAAGGAACAGAATAGGGACATAATATTGAATTTCACTAAATGAGTGGGGGAAGAATAAAAGTCATCAAACAAGCAAAAGGAATATTACAAAAAAGATGACACGAACATGAAGAATGTTTTAAATGGAGTAGTGGGCCCTAGGGTCTAATATTTCTCAGAAACTATGACAGCTTCATAAAAGACAGAATTTGTATTTTTTTTCATGATTAATAGAGTTGAGGTAAGAAATGGATTTCACTTTTAAAAGCTTGGCCTAAAACTAATAAAGCACACAATATTCACGCAACATAAAGTGCGATCTTATTGAATAGTAAATTTTGAATGAATAGTTTCAATTCCTATTAAGAAAATATAAATATTTTTCAAATAAATAAGATCCTTGGTGAGAGCTTTAAACACTAGGTTGGCAAAGCTTCCATTCACTTTCAACAGGATAATCCAAGTTTGGATTTTACTGAATGGCTTTCTAAAACTATTTCAAAGTTAATACATTGATACTATGAATGAAATCCATTTCCTGTAATGCACTACTGAATATCTTCAGTAGCTGCCATCTTTGCTTTCTAGAATTATGCTGGGTTTGAGTCAATTAGCTCAATTACAAATATAGTTTGACAGGTATGGTAGACTCTTTTTGTTCAGAGTTACAAGGTTAAGTAATTTTGTTGTCTAGCTTCATTATCATATAGAAGAAGGGACTGCTCTACATTGCTCTTGCAATGCAACTAGCAAAAAGCTGTGGTTAGGTATGACATTTCCTTGCTGTATACAGAATATAAAAATAATGGTTGAAGTAACATGAAATAGAATCTTTCTATGGGATATGACAACTTGTTTCAATCATCTTACCACTATCTCTATTTTTTCCCACTCAAAAATAATCCTACACTGAAAAATAAAATATTTTTGTGAAGCTGTGTAAGCTTCAACAACCAGACTCAAACTCAGACCTGAAACCCACCATTTAAACTAAGCTTCAATTTAGGAACAAAGCCCCCCCAAAATCCGGATTCTCCACTGACCAGTTTTTCTGAAAATTTTAGACAAATTGGTTTCCAACTTCAATTGCTATGAAAACTATATATCCTTAATTAGATCCAGTTGAGAAGTGTTTCTCTAACTAAAACCTATCTATCTTCATATCAAAATGTTAAAAAAATTCTCAAGCCAGGAATCATATATGCCATCAAAAGTTGAAAGTCATGACATCAGAAGCTCACTAAAGAATGAGACAATGGTGATAAGACAATAGTTAAAACTGCTGTTCATTATGCAACAAATTTTCTCCTTGAATGCTAAAACATCTGAACAAAAAGAGCATATTCATATGCATTTTAATCCTAACAATAGGGCTGATTTGAGTAACAATAATGCCATAAAGTCACTATTTCCTAGAAATGCTTTTATAAATAAAAAATCAGTTTAATTATTCAAATGAAGAATCTTAGATCTGGCAACATTTTTCCGCTACATTAAAAGACTCTTTTTGATCCAGCATTAGAGACAGTGAAACTGTTTCTTATAGGCCATTTTACAATATCCTTAATATAAATGATTACTGCACAGGTAGCCCGAGATCTGCTGCGGAACAACTGGTGACACCAAGGGTGATAGAAACTGATTGAATTGAATTTCTTTAGTCCCAGGTTTTGATTAGTGCATCATCTGTGTGGTGGGTTGGGGTTTTTTTGTTTTGGTTTTCAAAAGGAATTAAAATACTGGGATGTATTAAAATAACTGGAGTTGTATTAAAAAGATCATTACATGTGTGAATTGAAATAGTTGGAATAATTTTGGAATTAAATGCTACTCAGTATAATTAAAATATGATTAAAACCAGAACCTCCTTATTATTTACACTGTCAACAGAGGCAGATCACTTTAGTCAAACAGAATCAATCCTTATTCATTAAGCAGTCCCTTTGGAAGGGGCCAAAGTGGACTTGACTCCACTAAGGGAATTGTGTAAAAATTTAATCAGCCTGTGATCATCAGTCCAGCACTGAAGAAGCTGAGCTACTTAACTCTCAGAATATGGCTCATTTTTAAACATCATTCTTGGACAAGCTGTTACTTGTGTTGCATATGGAACTAGCCAC